GTGTTGGGGAGCCAGAAGGAAGCCAAGTCCAGCTTCCCCAGCCCCATGGCAATGGAAGAATGAAGAACATTCACACAAGGGCTGCAGGGAAAGCAGTATCCTCAGGGAAGAGCTGGGTGTTAGCCCTAGCAAAGAAGCAGAAAGTTCCATCTGCAAATAGTAGGGTAATTTGCTAACTGGAGTTCCAGGGCACACAGTTAAAAGAGGTGGGAGTCATAGGCTGGGAAGAATTGGGACCATTTTCAGAGCAACAAATCAATGTAAAGGGATTTGGGTAAAAGATGTTGAGAGATTTGGAGGCAGGGTTACCTTTCAATTTGTACCTGATGATCTTTGTATCTCTGGGGCCCAGGAGGTGCTTGATAAATGTTCTTGAATAATTTAATTCTGATACCTTTTCACTCTTTCCTATTTAGGTATTGTTTATTACCTTAGTGTTACATTTAATTCTGATGGATTTCATTCTGGTTTTGATGAGCCATTTCTTTCAGTTACTCAAGAAAGGTTTATGAAATGCCTACTATATATCAACACTGGCTCATTTGTAGGGCAAAGATATGGTGACTTCTTCCTGGTCTTCATAATAAGAAGATGGAGATACGATGTTTATGTATAACCTCTCGCTATGTGTTTGTATGTTATAGTCTTTTTCTCTTATCATCCCAGGCTATGAATAATCATGTTCTGTGTAGTATATTCTTCTCTTCTGGCCAAGTCTTGGGAGATCCTGTATGATAACTTCTGTGTTGCCCTCATACTTATCACATCATGTAAGACTATGTGTCATATAAATTTTTATGGAAAGGAAAGTCTTGAAATTTAGCGAAGGACAGAATTCAACCTGCAATCGTTTTTACAGCTTGTCCAAGGATTGTAATTACTAAACACTTAAAAGGATTTCAGTTAAGGTTGTTTTACCAATAAGGTAGCCACATGGCCTGGACCCACTATAGTAAGATTTCTTTATGTTTGTTTTTCCTAAACAGATTCAGCCTTTTGGAGTTGAGTGTAAGTGAAGACATAGATAGGCTTGGAAAGAAATCAGGAAGAGTGTATAGGTTTCCTTATAGAATCTTGATTCTCTAGAGAGCCCATTGCTCCTAAGAATTTTTTTTTGTTTGTGTTTTTTTTCCTGGTATCTATACATGTGGAAGATGTTGACTAATTTGCTCTGGAAGGACAAATAGAAATCAACCAATATTTCCAATCTCGATCTTATGTACTATCCTTCATTTTTTTAAATCCAAGAACTTGGGCTTCACTGTGATAGCCAGATTAAACCCTTTTTCCTGAAGATACGTGACTCTTAGAAGCATTAGGTGTTAGGTTAACATCTTGGTAACTATGAAAAACCTTTATCTCTCGTAGACTACGTCTGTGTACCCCTTGGGTTATATATAGCTTGGGTCTGGTTCAAACCTTCACTTTCCGATTCGGGAAACTGAAGTCTGAGAATATTACGTGTCTTGTGTAATAGCCAGTAGCAAGTTAGTGCAGTTGAGAAGCGAGTCAGGTCTCAAGAATACCAGCCCAGCCTCTACACTAAACCACGCTAGCATCTGTTGTCTGAGCTTCCGGGCTCAGCCTGGGCTGTTTGCCTGTTTTTAGCACCCACTGCCCCCTGTTTATGTAGGCTGACTTAGCTTTTTTGTGATCCCTACTTTTAGTCTTCAGGTCTCAATTGTGACCCTCTGCCCCATCTGTCTCAAGTGTGCAGGGAAACTTCTTTCCTTTTTTCTGCCAAAGCCTGTATTCCCTGCTTGTGTGTTCAAGCCCCAGGACCTCCTCCAACCCTGTGGCACCTTTAGGGGTGATTCCCTCAGCTGCTCCCTGCTTCTTTCTTTAAAGGAAGTACAATTTCATTAACCCCAGAGACCATTCCCGAATGTGCAGTTGTTTTCTGAGGAAGCCCAGCCTTTCTCCTCTAAGAAACTTTCCCCAACCAATCCTTCAACCTTCCCCAGTCTCTCCACTTTCCTCTCACAAGAGGCTTCTGCAATTATTGCAGATTTCTGCTTTCTGTCCTTTAGCATGCCCCACAGTCAGTAAGAAACTTTCCCCAACCAATCCTTCAACCTTCCCCAGTCTCTCCACTTTCCTCTCAAAAGAGGCTTCTGCAATTATTGCAGATTTCTGCTTTCTGTCCTTTAGCATGCCCCACAGTCAGATAGTCCATGTGCTCTCTTCCACATGAAGTCAATCAGGCTTGCTTCTGGCCTTCTTCTATCTCCCTTCACAGCACTGTTTCTTCCTCCTTGGTGCCCCCAGGTCCCAGTTTGTTTTGTTTTGTATTGCCTTTGGAAGACATGTTTCTGAACATTGTGGATGCAGCCCAGCATCAGCATCTCCCTTTATGCCTGTCACCTTCTTTCCTTGTCTCCACCTGCAGCTTAGGGTTCTGGTTATCAGCATGAAAATGTAAAGCTACACAAAACTCAAGCTGTATTTTCTCTCTTGTGATTTTTATAGGTATAAGTTCTGGAACTCTGAAACTAAGGTCATGACAAAGCAGATTTGCCCATAGAAGGTTCCAGAATCCTTGTGACTTTTTGCTTTCTCCTAATGAGAGCACTTTATCATAGAATTCATCTGTGGAGCAGAGATGGAACATTTGACAAGAGACCCATGCTTTTTTCCCGTGATGTGTCAGGGTTAGTGAGAGAAGCAAGTTGGCACTGCACGAGTGCAGATCAGGGTTAGTGAGAGAAGCAAGTTGGCACTACACGAGGGCAGATATGAGCTGCCTGGCTGGTGGCAGCTCTTTCCACGGAGCCCCAAGGGAGGGAGGAGGTGGCCACCAGCCTGTGCCAGCGAAGACCAGTCTGTGTGTCTTAGATGCACACGTGGTCAGTCTGATCAAGAGGGTTGAGGGTGGAAACTGCAGGAAAGATTCTTCTATGTGCCCAAATTGTGCTGTGTGCTAGCCGGGAAAGTACATGTTTGGATGCTGAAATTAACAGCACATTTGCCTGTAGATTTATCTTTCAGAATTTCTCTGGCAGTTTTTCCGTACACACCCTGTTCCATAGACATCTTAAGGAAGTTGTAAATTTTGCTGATTCTGCATTATTTAAATCGTGCTTGGTCATTCATTCTCATAAAATGTGGAATATGATTTATTGTTTCTACATGGTAATTTTCACACGTGTTTGAAGTAGAAATAGTTTTATTACAAATTAATATATTTCTCCCCTCAAGCATATGCCAACACATAGCAATATTGCAAATTTGGAAATCTGTGTTATTTCTGTGATCACTAATGTTTGATATTAATGGCATAATTAATATTTTTATTACCACTTTTAAAAATTGAAGATACTCATTTCAAAATAGTGTATAAAAATTTTTATGTGAGTATTCAGTAATGCAATACATGTATTAATAAGCTAAATATTTAACTAGACAACACAAAATACCTACGTTATTATACAATTACCAGTTCTACAAAGAAATTTGGTTTATATGCTACTAAGTGCATTAAAACATCATTATATTAAGTGTGCTATATTTATTTGCAGGAGCCATGTTTTTCCTAATAGATACTTTATGTTGGCCTTTTCTTTTTTCATGGTATAAATTTTAAGCATTTAGTAGGATGACTGCATGAGTATATATACATATTCTGGAATAGACTTTTATTTTAACACCCGGGTTAGAGAAAAAAAATCCATTTCTCTTAATCTTTGCTAAGATACTGGCTGATACACAGTTTAAGAAGAGAGTATGTTTGAAATAGCTTCTAATACATATCAGACATCCTCTGATATTATTATTGATAGAAAATATTTTATATCTATACAATTTTATAGTCTTCTTTAAGTAATATTTATTAAGTACTCCCAGTGCAGTATAGACCCCAGTGCAGTATAGAGATACCTTAGTTTAAAAAAAAAATAATAATTCCCTGAAGGGAAGAGAATCTTTAAAAAAGAAGTTGGTGCAGGTGAGGTGGGGTTTAGAAACAGTCCGTTTCCTTTTGCTGCAGTTGGCAGTGTTGGCGCTGCAGGGGAAGTGGCAGTGGACTTGGTCTTCCCAGTGCAGTATAGAGATACTTTAGTTTAAAAAAAAATAATAATTCCCTGAAGGGAAGAGAATCTTTAAAAAAGAAGTTGGTGCAGGTGAGGTGGGGTTTAGAAACAGTCTGTTTCCTTTTGCTGCAGTTGGCAGTGTTGGCGCTGCAGGGGAAGTGGCAGTGGACTTGGTCTGGGCAGGTCCAGGGTGGTGGATTTGGTCTGGGCGGAGGATGAAGTGGAACGGCACTGCACTTCTGCCTTCTGATGCTCACACAGCCAGCTACCTGGAGTGGGCAGGGACCCCTTTCAGGTCACCAGGCTGCTGTGACGTGAGTCAGGGGATAATGGCCTTACTTGCCATGCTGACACTGGGTGCATCTCTGTCTCCTGCATTGTCCTCACTGGAAGGGATGTCTCCACCCACAGTGTGACACCCTCTGTTACTGGTGCTGCTGGGATACCATGCAGCCCACTCTCAAAAACTCTACATCCCAACCAGAACCATGCATCTTCCTGCTGAGGCCAGCAGACGAGCCCAGCAGAGCCCGGCAGAGTGGCCTCTGTCTCCATCACAAGCAGACAGTTGGGGCAGGTCAGAGCAGAGGGTCTGGCCTTCTAGTCCATCCTTGGTCTTCTGTCTCCGCCTATTTTCTTATGATACCCTCCCTCAGAAAGTGCTTCCAAAGAGGGAACTGAATATTTATTCATGGTGACACTCATGAAACCTTTTTTATCATAAGAGAACTTGGCCAGGAAGAGATCAAAATGAGATGCACCAGAAATATGATTGGTTTCTTCAGACCATAGCCAGCTTTCCTGCCTTTAGTTTTTATGGATTACTTAAGTTTATAGAATCAGTAATCTTTTCCATTTCCAAAGGATTGGTTTTGTTTGGGGGGGAGGGGAGGGTGGGGGTGTGGTGATATGGACTTTTTTTCTTTTGCTAATTTACAGTGCTAACTTTGGCCCTGTTTCCATTAGGAGATGAAAGCATGGAAATTAAAAAACAAATTACAGGAATGAGAAGATTACTGAATGACAGCACTGGGAGGATATATCAGCGTGTTGGCAAAGAAGGAGAAAAATTAAAGCAAGAGCCCCAGGATTTGGATTTGGTCTGGCCTCAGCGTTTGAACTCCTCTGCTGAAGGCCCACAGGGTGTCCACCCTTCTTCACGTGGTGCATGGAATGAGCTACCACCCCAAAGTGGTCAGTTCTCAGGGCAGTATGGCACTCGTTCTAGAACTTTCCAGAGTCAGCCCCACACTGCTGCAAGCTCCAATGGTACGGTTGTATCAGACATTCAGAATGCATTCATGGGGGGTTGCACTGACATGTTTTATTTCTAAATATTCAGCATGTTCTTTGAGTTCAATTTATGAAACCTTTCCTTAATCACCTGCCTTTGCTGAGTTATTTTAAAAGGCAGGGAAGATATAAAGGAAAAAAGTAGAAGAATATTAAAAAAACAGAATTGAGAATCAGGAAAGATGGGGGGTTCTATATTATAAGTGAAGATTTTCTAGTAGAGATTCCAGCCTTTTAAGAAGTTAAAGCTGTCATTTGCTGACATTCAGATATTATTTCAAAAGAACATTAGAGTAGAAAGAGCTCCCCTTTGTCACTAAAAGAAGCTTCCTGTTCATATGGTATGTTATGAATATATCTTCTTGCTTACTTCTTCACTTTTCTTCATTATCAGAAGAGTCCTAATTAAAGTGAGGGCTGTTAACCCAACATCCTGTGCAACACCCTGGCTCAGTCTCCCATTCCAGTACTAAACCAAATGATCCAAATTTTATAAATTGCTTCGTTAGCATTGAAAACTATTCCTTTGAAGTAAAATTTCCTTAATTTAAACTCCCTAATTGTTATGAAAAAAAACAAATGACAATTTTTTGAAGCTTAAGGAAGAAAATTGATGCTTTTTTAATAAGTCACAGTCTTCTATCCAGTGATACTGGATGTTATTTGTTCTATAAATTATGTATAGTGTGTAGATCTATAGTTTTCATAAAAAGAATAAGAAAAAAATTAAAAGGCATTTTCAGTTTCTTTAAAAATTTTAGCTAAGGATTTTTTTTCTATTCATTTTCATTTCATGGTATCCTTCAAGAAAAAGATACTGTTTTGATTTTTTTTAAAATGCAATTTGCAGTAAACAGTTCAGAGGCATGAAAAGCCTTCCTGAACCACTGATGAGACAGCAGGGGGACCCCGGGGATGTACGGGTGTCTTCCCTTCCTCTCAATATTACATAAGCCAATATCAAGTTCGCATGCTGGCATGATTCCAGGTTAGAGGAGTCTTTAAAGACTCCTCCATAAAAATAAGAAGTCAGTTCTCTTTAAAATTAGAAAATGATTTATAACAAGCTAAAAAAGGGTTGGTTTTGTCCTCTAAAAATGATAAAAATAGTACTTAGAATAGTGACTAGGAATATTCTATAAGGCCCTCCTAACTCTTCAGCCATGGAAGAGACAATAAGAGAATAAAATACTTCTAGGTATGTATGAAGTTAGTAAACTCCACATTGATAAGTTTTGGGTAAACAGTGTCATGTTTTCTAGTATACAACAAGGATGGTGGATTTACTTTGGAAAATGTTATTAATGTTAATAAAAGTTACAAACATAAATTCTCCCACATCAGTTTGAAAATACATCTTTTTGTGTTTATTACTTGCATACTTTTAATAGAAATGTATTATATAGAACTGTGACTACTTTGGTATTCCATTGGAATTATTTGCAATTTTAAAGTTGTAACATCTCAGTCTGCTGAAGTTTTGAATGTAAGTAGTTGTGCTCCTCCCATTAAGTTATCTTTAATTATTTCACAGTTTTGCTGTGGTGGGTTTTTCTCTATAGTATCCACAAATAATGCATATTATAGGATTTAAATTACATTTAATATAATATAAAGCATATAATTGGAACAAAACCTTAGAACTTACCTTGCCCTCCTATGAGAAAACCTAAGCAGTGGCAGCCTCTTCAACTGCACCATTTTAGGTAGTAGGGTGAACACTGATGCTGGAGGAAGTGTGATGTAACAGTGATTTTCCAAATGTTCCATCTTATTCTGAGGATAATAGGAAGATACTCGTTTACATATAAGGGAACCAGAATGGGATAGTTCTCTTAAGGAAAAGATATTAAATTTAAACTGTGAAGAAGAGACTATGGTGAGGAAAATGTAAGAAATGAGAATGGATAAAAGATGTAGAAAGAATTCCTTTATTAAGTTGGAGAAAAGCCAACTCACCAACACCCTCTCACACATCAAGTTAAAATATGTCCTCCCATCCTTGTTTGCCCAATTTTCCCCACCCCAAACACAGCACACACGGAGAGTATTCTAGAAGTTTTCATGTGTTCAAAGTTCTTCATTTTTGAAATATCACCCTTAACATGAAAACTAATTTATAAGTGCAGCCTTATAACACCAAGGTCATGGGTTTGGATCCTAGTACCAGCCAGCTGCCAAAAAAAAAAAAATCCCAAAACTAATTTTTAACAGTTGGACTCATTTAATTCTTAATATGAACTCATACACAGCTACTAGCTTTTTTGTAAGGCTGTTCTCAGAACTAGTGTTTGTGCACGTTAGCGTGAGTGTGTTGATAGTTTTTATGGTGGTATTATCTGAGATGAGATGAGGTGGTCTGACCCTACGGAGCTGCTGTGACTGCACACTGTGTGCACATGTTCATGCAGGCTCTGGCACCTGGACATAGCATGCACCTTACAATAGAAAAGCCTGGATAGTTAGATAAAGTCAGACCCCAAAATTTAAGCTGTAAAGATGATTGGGTACATTTTCCTTAACACAGTTTCATAATAATTGCACATGCTTCAAAATCCTATTAAGATGCCTTCTTTTTTTTCCTTCTTTATAATTTTGTTGTTGTTGTTTGGAGTCTGTCATTCTTTTCTTTCGTGCTTAGGAGAACTTCCAGTGGCGAATTCTTCAGTTGGGTCAAACTGCTGTACTTGTAACTGCCAGTCGACGTTGCAGGCCATTCTCCAAGAACTCAAGACCATGAGGAAATTAATGCAAATTCAAGCAGGTACAAGGAGCAGGCCTTGGAATGAGTCCTTTGATTTTTAGTGTGTATATGACATCAGCAGTCAAGATGTTCATTGTGCTTTTGTTATAGAGTTCTCCCCACCTGCCTCCCTTGCTGTGCCTCTTCACGTAGCCATTTGCTGAGCTTCTTCTACAACCCATTTTTTTCTTTAGCAAATCAAACAAATTTTTTTATTGCTACTAATACCACTCATATACTTATTTGCATGTACTCAGTCTGCTTCATCTCATAATCTCCTAGTGCTTCACAAATGTCAGTTAATTACATTTTGGGACAATTGTATGTGGAGGAGCCCTTTAGGAAGCATGTGCTTCATTGCTGAAGATGTCTAAGGATGTGAGCAACAGGAAGGTCGCGCCTCAGGCCTGCCTGTAGCTTTTCTCTCTCCCATTCAGAATAGAGAAGCTCAGAGACACCTCACATTCTGTCTTCAGTTATGTGACTCCTCTGTCTGTTTTCACCACCATTGGGTGAGCTGAAGAACAGAAGAGCAGTGCCTTGCAGTTTGGGTTTGGCAGCCCAGTTTCTCCTCTTATGGCTGTGTGACTTCACTCTGCCCCCGACTTCTCAAATTTGTAAACGGAGGATTAATATCTAACTCACAGGATAGTTTTCAAAATAGAATGAGATAGTAAAGGTAAATGAACTTTGTGCGGCATGATACAAGCATAAGCTATTTCATTAGTGTCACTTTGAAGACCGTGGAGCATTTCATAGAAGTCTGGAAGTCTAGGTCTTCAGTATAGTGGCTGTCTTTCCTAATCTCCATAATTGGGGGGAAAAAACAGCCTTTTTTGGTTACAGGTATAAGAAATAATAAATCGTTTTATTAAGCCTTCCCTCTTGTCAAGGGAAACTGCTACTTAATCTTAGTGTAAAGCAGAAATCAGACAGCACAGCCTATCATGACCAGCTTCCTACCCTTTATTTGAATGGTATTCAGGAAGGTCATCATTTAGAAACTCTTCTTGGTGCCATTTAGTGGATTGTTGTAAAATTTTAATATTCAGTGATGTGGTTTTGATATAAAAAGCTTAATACTTAGACATATCAGTCACCCAAGATCACATTAAAGTAAGGTGAGCTAAAGGCTACCTGAAAAGCAACATCTTTTCAAGTTGAAAAGATCTGGTTTTATCCCAATGAAAAAATAAGCATTTTGGCTGGGTCAGTAAACATTTGACTCACCTTGTTCCATCATGATTATCTGTGTTTTTATTAACCTGGCAAAGGTTAACATCTCCTAAATAAGGAGCTCAGAAAGGTTACTTTATTATGTATGGATCCTTTTCTCAGAGGAAGAATTTGTTAGCACTTAAGAAAATATGCATATGAAATGGTAATGGATTTATTTTGTTACCTAAGCTCCTTACTACTGAAATGGCCAACTACAAATTGCAGCCATTTAAATCCTTCTTAGAATCTATTAAGTAAATGCCACTTGGCCACCATGTTTTCTTTTCTGAACCTTTGCAGATTAGGGAGGTAAATGATTCCAAAGCTGTAGGGTAGCATAAAGGATAAACTGAATCAGTTACTCTCCTTTAATTTTCTTAAACTTAAAAATTTGTGTCATATGAGTAGATTTATTTAAGGTTTATTGCTTGTAAGACTTAGGTTTAAATTACATTTAGAAAGTTTCACCTTTATCTTAAAGAGAATAAAGGAAGAAGATCAAGTGGTAAGATCTGGGTGCCGAAGACTTGGGCTATGAGGAGAAGAAAAACTCTGATCAAGTCCCTGTGTTCTTTCAACCAAAGTTCTCACTTTTAATTAGGAATCATGAGGCTTAGAGAGGCTGCAGCCCAGACCATGGTGATCATTTTGCTTCATGATCCCTGTGACTCTGGGGACATAGACCCAGCTTGGGGGGAAAATGCAGCTAGAACAGGGAGAAGTTCTCAACTCTGGCTGCACATCAGAATCACTGGTGAAGCTTTAAAATAATATGGATACCCAGTCCCCACCCCAGAAATGTGGATTCACTTAGTCTAGGGTGGGGCTGAGGCAACACAGTTTTTTAAACTCCAGAGTGATTCTAATGTGTGGCCAAGGTTAAGAACCAGTGAGCTAGATTAACTACCACATGGATGGTTAGAAAATTTTCTGTGCTTTTGAGGAGTGCAAGTAGTTTGTTTCTGATACTTTTAAATTGCTTCCCAGTCTGGAGATGAAAATATCGGGATCAAAGTGTAAATATTCTTTATTTTCAGACTGATAAAAACTAGGTGAGAGAAAGTGATCCATGTTTATGTGCATTTAAAGACCTTTAGTTTTCACTTGGCTTATTTACTGGTTTATTTCTGTAAAAAAGGCAAGTATATCCTGTGCTCATATTTGGAAAGCTGTATTAATATCTGAATATTTAAATAATAATGCCATGTTTTCCTGTTACACCTTCCATCAGAGTATTTTTATGACCGGTAAGGGATCATGACCCTCAGCACGGTTTGGTCCGCACCAGGCTCAACCAGTGAGTGCACCGGCCATCCCCATATAGGATCCGAACCCGCGGCATCGGCGCTCCAAGCGCTGCACTTTCCTGAGTGAGCCACGGCGCCGGCAACCATCATAGTATTTTTAAAAGGTTAACAAACACTACTTCTCAGAGTGCGCCTGTGAAAACTGTATTTGCCATCCTGGATTTTTTAGAGTATGTATTCACTATGAGTACTTAGTTCTTGTACTGTGCTTTTCATCTTTGTAACTGAAACTGTTTCTATATTTTACTAATTTGCTTGACTTGTACAGAACTATATTATTCCTAACCATCCTGGATTTTTTAGAGTCTGTATTCAGTATGAGTACTTAGTTCTTGTACTGTGCTTTTCATCTTTGGAACTGAAACTGTTTCTATATTTTACTAATTTGCTTGACTTGTACAGAACTATATTATTCCTATTTTTCAGCTATGTAACACTGAGGTCTGGAGAAGCAGCCTGGTCTGAAACCATGTACCATGGTGCTCTGGGGATAGTTCATGTGTGGAGAATGTGTGTTTGGTGAGGAAGGAGTTACTGGGCCTGATTAAGTGACTAACAGGCTTTTCCCACAGGCTTACCTGGTCCCTATTATAGAATCATTCCAAGCTATTTATTTTTATCAGTCTTGCCCAAGTGATCGTCATTGTTTCATCTTTGTCTATTTTGGCACCTGTAGATTATTAGCAACTGATCAGTTTAAACCCAAATGACAGTTGGAATATTCCTGAAATGGGCTTACCAGAAAGCATGGACATCTGTACCTGAATTTAAGTTCTGGAGTTCTCATTGATTTAAAAATGTCAGATGATTTATAAAGTCACTTTCAAATGTTTTCTCATAGCGCATAATCCCTTCCTCCATTGGACCCAGCAGCCGCAGTGCACTGTAATGATTCACCAGCGTGTAGAGCAACGTTTTCTCCTGGGTGTTTTTCTGCCTTTAGGACTTTAACATGCTCCAGAGCCTGCACTTGGTAGACCCAATGTGAGATTTACCATAGTGGCTTCGTCCTCAAGTGGGCCTCAGTTCAGTGTCGGTTTATAGATCACATAGACAGTCCAGGAATAAGCTGTCCTAAGTCAGACAACGTTCCTGTACCGTATGTTTGTTTACTGTTCACAGTTGGAACTCAGAACAGACAACAACCCCCAATCTCCCTTATATGCTCCCAGCGAACTGCTGTGTCACGCAAGAGAAATAAAAAGAAAAAAGTACCCCCAAAGACTGTTGAACCTCTTACTGTGAAGCAGAAGCCTAGCATGGTAGAAGCTGAGAAGAAGACCACCGTGGCCTCCGGGCAGTCTGGTGTCCAGGCAGCCCAGCACAGCTTCCCGGAGGAAAGCCACGTCCTGGGATTTGGCATCGTTCTCCAGTCACCTTCCTCTGATGTAAGTTGATATTTTCTAGCTGCTAACTCTAATGCGATACAACTTTCTGGAATTTTATAGTATTAATACATTTTTCCCTTCACTAGTTCTACCCAAGACATCTAGAAAAACTTGCAGGATACAGATGGGAAAGAGGAAAGGAAGACTAGTAATGATTTCTTGGCCTACAATTTTCTTTTCTGAAAATTTTATTTATTTTTATTTATTTATTTAAACACATTTCCATCTTTACCTCTGAAAGAAGAAGGGTGATATTGTAAATAATCTGCTCGCTTATTTCTTTAACATTTTTAATTTCAAAGTGGCAGTTTTCAATTTCCTCAGTGTAAAGAACCAAAAGAATATAATTAAATCTTTTGTAGATGGGCATAAGTGAACAGAACCATACAGATAAGGTCACACCTTTCTAGAAACATAAGCTAATAATAAAAAAGGAGCAGTAGTGCTAATTCTATTTTATAGATGCAAGCTACACTGCTAATTAGGTGGCAGTGCCATGCCGTTTACTCTGTGTAATGATAGGTTAATGCTCTGCAAAGGTTTTTCTATTTTAATATCATAGCTAGAATGTTGTTATAGTCCAGGATGCTGGATTACATCTGAGATATCCATCTGACTTGCTATTTTATATTCATAGGACCATAAATAAATTTCTTTAATAATGTGCTATATCTGCAATTGCCTACTGTATTTGCAATATCTTTATCTAAGTACATTCATATTGTGAACCCCAACTTGTTGGGAGAGTTCTTAAAATAAACAAGAATGATCTATTATTATCAGATTGCATAGAATGAGAATCCTGCTGAGAACTCCCACAGGCCTATATAGGATTGGAGTTTGGCCCTACCTTTTAAACTTTAAATAACAGAAATTGCTGTTTTAAAAAGCAAGGTTCTCCTTCAAATTGTAGCAAGACAGTTTGCTAGCATATATCTACATTGGGTCTCTTATAAAGGAAGGTGACAAAAATAATTATCTTGAAACTTTTTTAGCCTAGAAAATCATTTGAACTTTTTCCAGTCCTTGGTGTTAAAGGGGTATTTTTTTAAATCTATGGACACATGCTACAATCTTTAAGAAGGTCTTCTAGATTGAAACTCAATTTTAAAAAATCAATAATGATGATAGTGTTCTCCCCAGGACCAGTCCATTCATTTGATTATATCATGTCATTATTGCAATTAAGACCCTGTTTCAAACCCCAGATAGATCACATATTTGGAAATGGGTAAATTATTCCACAGCATAAAGTACATTCAATCCTAAGCTGTTTTTAATCATACTTTTATATTTTCCTTACATTTTCTAAGCATTCTTTTCTGATAGGCATTGATGTAGCAGGAGCAATAATTTGAGTTGCACAGATCATCTCCCAAGGGGTTGATCTAATGCTAATAACTGAACTTTCTCCTTTTTTTAATTTTAAGCTCCAAGTGTACTTCAGAGATAAATTGAGGAAGATCTGATTGTTTTATTACTTTTACCAATATCAGTATTATAATTTTATTGATAATAATTTACATTTTATTCATGATTGTTTTTGCTAACAAGACCTATTAAATTTGCTAAAGCACATTCAGAATTGTCTATGAAAACTTTGTTAGATGCTGCCTGTCTTTGACTGAAGAATAACGTGCTTCTAAAGAAAAGCAAGAAAAGGTGTGTGGATATTTACACTATCCAGCTAATACCCATTTGATTCGTCTCTTGAGCAGAAAGTGTAACTGCACCTAGACAACATGGCAGTGAAGCCCCATGGTGGCTGAGGAAATGCTGTCTGTGGCCAGTGTGCAGTGGTATTAGTGAGGCTGCCTATGTGGTCCTCAGGGGTTGAGGGCTGGGACATTGACTCCTGTAGGTAAAAGAGCCATCAGTGCTAAAGACGTCCAAATTAGGTGCCCTGCCAGTCTTTTATTATGCCTTAGCCATGAGCCTTTTTAAATGTGGTGGAAGTACAGAGGAGAAAACAGAAAATAGGTAATAATCTTACAGGTATTATTTTATAAAATGGGTTGGAGCAAATATAAGCGGCTGGGAATTGTGTATTGAAGATAGGCTCTGAGAAGTCTCCAATGGTGGGAGGATCAGGTTCAAAGTCGTAGGACTGGGCAAGTGGCCCAGTGTTGCTGGATCAGCTCTCTGGACAGGACTGGTGAACATAAGCTGGGGCCAGAGAGGGACAGCCCTAACATATCAGCTTTGATTTTGTGGGCACTGGGGACCATTGCAGGTTTCAAGTCTAGGAAGAATTCTGCCTTGGTTTAAGAGTGGTAACTGCGACAAGTTGCCATTGTGACTGATAGAGAGATGGAGAGGGGAGATGCTAGAGATGGAGAGAGTGGTAGGGAGATAATTGCAGTCCACCAGGCAAGAGTTCTGAGGGTCTGGACAAGAGCAGTGAGCCTGGAGAGAAGAAAAATGAGAGCCATTCAAGAGGGACTCGGTGACCATGTGGAAAGTAAGTCCCAAATTACTAGCTTAAAAACAAGGTTGGTTCCTAGCTGGCCCTGACGACTTTAACTGAGATAGGGAGGGCAAGAGCAGAGGCAGTCTTCCAGTTCTGGATGGGAAGGAAAAGTGAGTTGAGTGTCCTCAACATATTCATTAGGCACCTCGAGCACAGGAGAAAGGTTAGTGCTAGAAACAGTGAAATAATGATGACATAAAACCTATGCTTTATTGCTTCTTTAAATATAAAAAAATTAAATTTTTGTAAAAATTCACAATGTATCATTAGCCTTTTTATGCTGTGACTTGTAGTCACAAATACACGCTCGTATATCCATGGCACAAACATAAACACAGGGCCTATGTGGGCCCTAGCACATTGCAGACAGACCACCGTCTTCTGACTGATAACGCTTGTCCCCATTCAGAGGCAAAAACCACTAGGCTTTATTGAAAACCAACAGAAATGTCAAGACCTCAGAGTGTGGTGAGCATTAAATGATATATGGTATATGGGAAAATGCTATTTGCAGTGCCTGGCACATAAAAGCTACTCACTACTATTTATTTAATCTGCAAATGATAAAACATCTGCATTTGCGTTAAGCACAATATACAAAATCAACTTACGATACATTGGGTCAAGGACTTTAATTAGAACACCCTCCTCAATTTAACTGCCACTTACCCATTCTTTCCTTATTACTCCTCTCTGCACCCATCCACCCCACTTCAGGTCCCTGATATGATTTGAACGATCCTCCTTTATAGAACTTTCTGTACTGTTTTGTGATTATTTACATGATTTCCGGTCCTTCCACCCCAGCTCCTCAAGAGCAGTGACTATACATAACAATAATAATAACAATATTCGTGTGCCATCCTGTGCTAAGTAAATGATCTCATTTAATCCTCACTCTTTGAGGTCGTCTTCTTACCCTCATTCAATAGATAGCCTGCACAGGCTCACACACCCAGGAAAAGTGAGCTGGCTTGACCCCCAGGCCTGTCGTCTGCCCTTGTCCACCATGTGAAAGACTTTTGGGTGACTGCCTGTTCTAGCACAATTCTTGTACATGATGAACACTCAGTGACTGTTCATGGGGTGATTGTTATATGACAGAACTGAAAGGTTAGTCTATGGCTATTTATTCTGTTTATGTGGAAGATTTGGGGGGAGAACTTCACAGTTAAAGGAGCTGGCTCTGGGGCCATGTGGCCTGGATTAGAATCTCAGCTCTGTGGCCCTAACCTCTCCCCCCAGTTCCCTCTCTGTAGAATGGGGATAATAATAATGCTTACCTCACAGAGTTGGCCTACTGGAAGAATTAAATGAAATAATCTATGTAAAGCACTTAGAACAGTGGCTGGCACATTTTAGGCACTCAATAAATATTGGTTCTTTTTTTAACCTTAGCAGTCAGTCCTACCTAAGCAATTTTATAAGAGCAAATTTAAAATAAATGTATCTGTATGTACAAATGAAGAAATACATGTAAACAATAGTGTTTTTGAAAAGGGAATGGTCAGAAATGTTTCTCTTTTGGGGCAGGATTCTTTGACCCTTTTTAAATTAGTGTAGTATTTTATTTTTTGCTAAAAAAATATTCTCTTTTCTTCTTAATCCTAAAAAACAATGTAAGGACCATTTTTATTTTCTAGTAATAAAAATCTTTGCTTCTGTAATGTTCAGCACACTAGAATATGCCAAGGAGGACACTAGATTTTCACACTCTGTGGTCTGGGAACGTGAGTATTGTAACCCCGATACCTAGTATGGTTTTTGTGTTGAGTGGACATTCAATAAATAGTTGTTTAATGAAAATAAATAAATAAAAATAAATTAGCACATTAAGTAAAATCAAACCTAAATTACACAGAAGCATAAGTAGAAACCTAAAACCAAACTGCAGATTTAAATATCATATTTAGTTCTTTCTTCATGAGTTTACAATCCAATAATTTACTGGCACTGAGACAAGACAGATGTTCATTTCTTATAGTTACTGTTTCTTTGATTCTGGATATATTGATTTGTGTTTTTCAGAGCAAATATACATGGCCTGAGCTTGTTTTGTTGTTGTTGCTTTTTGTTTGGCTTGTTCTTTGGCTTTGGTGAAACTCAGACCAGTTTTTTTAAAAAGCTTTTATAGGGGCCGGCCCGGTGGCGCACTGAATAAGTGCGCCACTTGGGAAGCGCGGCGGCGCTCCCGCCCGAGGGTTCGGATCCCACATACAGACCGGTTCCCGCTCACTGGCTGAGCGAGGCGCGGGAGCAAC